CCACAGCCGCGCTGACGCCAGGGRCACCGCGGGGCCGCAGCTTTTGCCGCCGCGGCAAAGCCCAGCTCCCACCGCTGGGATAGGAACATGGTTGTGCAATACGTGTTAATCAGCAATAAGAATCAATGTAGAAATAGCTGTTACATATTTTTAAAATTCCCCTTTTTTGTACACTGCTTTTTTTAAAAATAGACATTTATACACATCTCCTTCGCGTCTTCCTAAAGTACTTTAGCACCACAGGATATCCATTTTCAAGCCTATATTACCTGATATATATACGAAGTTTGGAAGAGAAGTAAGGCAATTTGGTTTAACATGTTGATAGTTTTTAGCTTGCTTAATGTTCTATGGTAAAAAGCAGACCTGCACTCGTATGTCATTACTTCCAACTTGATGGTGCCACCGACGGTCACAGGAATCCACAACAAACAGCAAGACCTTGATCTCGTATCTTCTTGCCATCAAGCAAAAGCCATATTGTAAATGGAGAGCTAAGAGGAACACCCGGGCTTAATGCTGTTGTGAGCCCTGAGGGGAGAGAGGAGGCAAACGTGTTAGCAGGAACCACGCAAGGGGGAACTCAGAAGTCATCTGCAATGTAAAACACTTATTTGGAGAGTCACAAATGCCTTCAGTGGTCAATTCTGCAGAAGGAACCCAAAGACTTTCTGAAACACTGGCAACTTTTGTCCCTAGTCTTCAAYAGACCATCCAGGCTACTCAGGCAAAGCCCCGAGCCAGCTGCCGCCATGTGAAGAGCTGACCAAGCTGTGAGTGAAATTCTTTGTTCCCCTCAACACACCTGGCAGCAGCAGGAAATACGCTGATCAGCACAGGAGCAGCACCGTGCAGTCTGCAGCCCCAAACACCTGGAAGCAGGAAATCCTTCTGTAAGGCTGGGCAAGAAACTCAAGCTCCTCTCTACGGCCAAGCCCGGTGCTGCTTCCAGGCAGGGACACCTGCGCCCTCCACCGAGGCCCCTCAGGTTCACATGGGCCCACGGGAGCTGCATTTGCTCTCTGTAACAACCTGTTAAACACCCATAAACTCAAACGTGGGGCAGGGTGGTTCAATAAACCACGCTGTCTGTGTAAAAACAGACCTAACAAAAGGAAATATATTTTAACTAAACCCACAACAACAATCTCCCAGAAGYGTCCCTGCTGACTGAGGCAGGATGCAGCGCAACGCGTGCAGCGCTGCGCCCAGCACAGGCAGCCTATCCGGGCCGGCCGGCCTCTCGGGAAGGCTCCGCGGCGCCGGGACTAGGGATGCCGGCAGCGGGAAAGGAGCCGCGTGGCCCGGAGCRCTTCCCGCTCAGCCTCCCCGGCCTGCGCACAACAAACACCCGTTCACACTCGGAGGTCACCTGGGATGCCTGGGAGGCAGAGGTGCCAAGTTCCCACTGGCACGTGTGGCTGATGGAGGGAGCCCTGGGGCAGCCTGGGCACCCAGGGGCCCTTCCTTCAACACCCACTCCAGGTTTAMCCTGTCCTGGCACAGGGTCCCCTCCTGGTGTCCCCTTCAGGGACCACCTGAAGGCCCCTGTTTCACCCAACAGCCCCTCCACCTGCTAGCACGAAGCTTCAGACTCCTCAAGCGACGGCCTCCTGCAAGGGGAAAACCACCAGCTTCCTCAGAGCAGAGAGCTGCCCACGGTGTTCGCCACAACGAACACAGCAGCAAACGAAGATTTCAACACAGAGAAAGAAACCCTCCACGTGCTCCCTCAGCTCCATGCAGCAAAGTAATGGAGTAAAAAAAAAGCCTAGGCTAAAGAAAACGTTTTACATGAAAAAAACAGACTGACTCACATCAGAAAAGGAATTAATGCTTTTTGGGAAATTAACATTTCAATTAGGGAATAACCTTATAAGCTAATTTTTTTCCTAAATTGRAAAGAAAGAAAACGTGATGCCCTTCTGGATTATGCAAGCAGAATTGTTTTCTGACAAAAAAAATCATGGGAACTGCCCAAAATATTTACAGATAAACCCTCCTTTGGATCTGTCTCCTGCAACTGTCCACAAGCACGTTAAAGAACACAGGGAAATAAAAATAAAATGCAGGTTTGGGCTAACACAGGAAACAGAAGTAGATGGCAGAGTAAATTCTGAACAAAAAAGAAAGCTGTGTCGCTACCACATGAACACAGYTAACTATAAAATGAGAAAATTTGTATGACGACACATACAGAATTTGTTCGTTTTCGTTTCCAACAGTCGGGATTTAAACGTTTCTGTTCTTCTGCCAAGGCCTTGGCTTCTAGCGTGTACATCCTCCTTTCTTCATTTTTCATTTTCTTCCACCTGTCCCCTAGTATCACACTTATGGCTCTGCAAGAGAAAGGGCAACAGGGCGGTCAGGAAAGGATTTTTAAAAGGATTTTTTCACGCAAGCCCCCCATTCTCCTTTGGGATCTCAGCACTTTGAAGGAGGCTGCAAGCTGAGCGTGGCCACGCTCGCCCCGGAGCTGCGGTGCGGAGCCCTGGGCAGCCTCTTTTCCGAGGCGTCCGTGCCCGTCTCCCGTGCCCAGGGCCCTGCTGTTCTCCCGCRCCCCCCATTCCCAGAGCTGAACCCAGGACTGTTGTTCTCCCCACGGCCTGCCCGACCCCGACAGCGTCTCCCCACGCTACGGCACCAGCCCTGGCTCAGGCCCACGTGTGGGGCAGCATCAGCACGAGGCCAAACTCCAGGTTTGGGCAGGACAGAATCCCCGCCGTCATCTGCCCAAGGACCATGATGATGGTGATGGAAGCTTTACTGCCCGTCCTGTCCCCTCAGAGCAAACTCGATGAAACCAGAGCCTCTCACAGCACATCCATTTGCACAGGTTGCCTCTTTGCCAATGGATTTTCTGTTTTTCTTTCCAAATTAAGGGTCAGCATCTTTGGGCTATCAGTAGAAAACACACTCCAGTTTAAGCAGTGGTATTTTCTGAACATCTCGGCAGTACCCAGAGATGGATCAACAGCACCAGAACCTGCCCTCATGTCACTATTTCGTATTCATGCACTTGGGCCCCTGGAGAAGCCCACTGTGACCCAGACAGCCAAAAAAGYGGCTCTGTCTCCAAGCAAAAAAGCAGCCTCTGAAATGTTTGTATTTAAAGCAAATGGCACCGCCAGAGACCCGCACTGCAGCCCTGAAACTAAGCCCGGCCCCGTGCCACTTCAAAGCTTCCARCACCTGGTGAAGACACAAAAGCTCCGCTCCTCAAAGGAAGTATTCCTAGGAGTGAATGCCTGAGACTGGGAAGAAGACATGGCCGGAGATCTCCCTAACGGGCCTCAGCAAGGCGCAAGGAGCTGCTGCTGGCCTAGGGGCCGGGGCTGCAGCGCTGCCCTCCGTCGGGCAGGACCCGTGTGCTCTGCCCGCGCCCTGTCCTGTCCTCAGCRCCAACCCGGAAACGTTTCCCCACACACTGGAGGGCCCAACTGTGCTGTTTTACAGCAAGTTCACAGGAAACTGTCAATCAGCATTTGAGAACAGCTGAAGTTCACTCTGAGGATGTGCATAAAAGTTTCTTTGCCTTTGCACTGCTCCCGTTAGTGACGGATTTCTGAGGGCAGGATGGAGCCCAGCGCGGCTGCAGCAGGGAGAGGAGACAGCAGCCGTCCCCGAGGCCGGGCCTGCACCTCGCCGYGGTGCCGCCGATGTTCAAAGCTCGCGGGGGCTCCGGCAGCGGCTCCCCCTCACATCTGCTTTCTCACAGAACAGCCTATCTCGGAATGCCTCGCGTTCCCTCCTTTCTGATAGGCATAAACCAAACACGGTGACTCACCAGCCCAAGAGCTCACGGGCACCAAACCGGCCCTACACGTAACTGACTGCAAAGACCTACACAGTGATCCCAACACCACATACAGTCACACTTTGTAAACCTGATAAATCACTGAACACCTCAGCAACCCCGAAGCTACAGCAGGGAACCGCCTGCCACCTCCGCTGTCACCAACTCGCACGATTTACCCTGCACTGCCCTTGAGASACGCCAAGGAGCCGCTCAGCGGCGGCGCGGCCCGCGGGCTGAGGTGCAGCCCGTGCAGCCGCCACCTGCCCTCACCAGAGCTGCTCTCCGTGGGTGCCCCACACTCCAACTGCTCCGACATCCCCCCGGGCTCGCCGCATCCGTCTGAGAGCGGCGTTTAAATACGAACAAAGCACCACGAACCTCCCTAGTTCTCCGTTTCTCACCGGTAGTTGCAGGGATTCTGAAGACAGATTTGTCATCTCCCAACTCGAACGTTAAGTACCAGCCAGAGCCTCCCAAAGCCCTGTCACCTTCAACTCCTGTCCCAGCTCGTACTGGATTATGAGCCACGGCAACTTCTATGGCAACAATTGCCCTTTCCTAACGTTAGACTCCTAACATTACATACAAAATGAGTGAATTTCCATGTCCTTCAGTTCATATTTGCATGGGCACAGCCTTATTATAGGAAATMTTTTTTTTAAAAAAACATACATAAATACATCCTGGGTGTCTCCATTAAAAAARGACCTGGATGTCACACTCATGAAAGCAGAAGTGAAAGCATCACAGTGAAGAACCCTCCCCCAGACACTCGGCCATTTCCTGCACGTCAGAGCACACTGTTCAGAACTACCCCATGACAAGCACAACTTGGATGTTGGGTCTTTCCAATGTCCTAAGAATMAGGGCCCCATTTTCTCTCAGCTACACAAACCGATTAAAACCCAGTAACTGTACTGAATGATCCACAGTATTGTGGCATGACAAAATTGTGGCTTGGCTATCAAAACCCAGAAGATGCCCTTTTTCCATTATAACCAGAGCAGAGAACCCGGGATATTTTTCCATTAACATTTTGTCACCGGTGTAAACAGTGCTGTGTATTTGTGGCTTTGCCTGGGCACACATCTCACTTTACCCAAATGCTGTTGCACACGACTGCCAAAACTGGCTTTACTGAGTCAAATCGCCCGAGCACTGTAAATATTTAAAGCATCTTTCAAACTGATTCTTACACCACCAGGCACACATTTCAACTTTGATTTCAACTTTCAATTTTGATTTCAAGTGCAAGCTCCCGTGGGCTGCAGGTTTCCAAGCGGGACGCGCTGCTCGGCGAGGCCGCGGCCGCGCTGCCGCCGTTACCTGTTGTCCTTGCCCGGGTACATCTGCGTGTACTCGACCCGGTACTTTTTGGCGAAGAGCATGAAGGCGTTCATGGGGCGCTTGCACTTGCTGGGCGAGGCGGCGCTGGCAGTCCCTGAGCTGGGGCCCTTGCCGGCTCTGCCGCACGGGGCGCYGGAGGCGGCGGCGGGTGGCGAGTTGGGGGCGCCCCCATCCTGGCTGCCCGCAGATCCCGCGGATCCCGGCGCGGCCGCCGAGAGGGATGCGCGGCGCTGGCGGGCCATGCTGCTCAGCACGTACACGGCAGAGGAGTCCAGCGGCGTGAAGTCGTAGCTGCAACGAGAGAGGCGTCAGCGAGGGCTGCGGCCGCGCGCGGAGCCGCTCCTGCCGCCGCCTGCGGGCTCCCGCTCGCTCCCGCCGGGACACGGGGCGCCCCCGCCACTCGGAGCACCCGGCGGAGCCAACGCTGCTCATCTCAGTGTGGCAGCAGGCTGCCACTCTGCAAGGTCCCCATTCGTGTCACGGTGACTACACAGAGCTGCTCCTGCCCTCACCAAGCCCCCAAGGTTACCGCCAGTGACAGCCAACCCAAGGAGCACAGAGTTTGCTCACAACTGCATGTTAATAACAGACCTGGGACCATCCCATTCCGTAACACCAGCTACACCCCAGCACAAGCAGCTGCTCTCGGCAGTGAGAAAGGTGCTGTCAGTGACCGCCCTTCCACTGACACCAGCCCTGTGCGGGCACACCAGCCCTGTGCGGGCACACCAGCCCTGTGCGGGCACACCAGCCCTGGGGTATTGACTGAACTCAAAGCTGACAAACCCCTGCCCCCTAGTGACAAAAATGCGGGAATTTCTCCATTCTCCAAGGTGGTTCAGCCGCTTGCAGCGCTAGTTTCCACACAGTTTAGACCTCCAAMAGTCCCAACCCTCACAGCTGCCTTTGAGCACCACCACCAAACACATAACGGAGAGCACTCCAAAAGAGACTATTTCTCATCTATCAGGAACTACTAAGTGTGTGCAGAATTCTCCCACATGCTACATAGATACATATGCTATAGATACATATCTATTCTTGCATATGCTATGTAAGGGAAAGGCACCTCCAGGGGTGCCCTGGAGATTTAAACCCTAAAGCAGCACCCCAAAACAATCCCAGGATCTGCATCACTCAAGGGCTCCTCGTGGCTAAGCTTACACGGCTTCGGGCAAGAGGGAGGGCGCAGGCTGCTTGCTGAAATAAACTGGAGCTAGTAGCCAGGAGCTGCTGTGAGCCCAGCCCGCAGAGGCAGCACCTCTTGGGGAGGGAACCAAGGCTAAAGGGCCTCCTCCAAAATCCCTTGGAAAAGTGAAAAGCAGCCAAAAAGGGGCTGGTTCATTGACAACCCTCCAGGCAGGCCAGCTCCCGAGAGGTAAGAAAGGGCCTCTCTGTTCTCCAACAGGCCAACACTTTCCTGATCTCCCTCCCATGAAAGGGCAACAGGGTTTTGTTTGTAGTCTGTGAATTCCTCCACTACCCACGGCTGCTGCTTGCTGCCTTCTGGCTGCTTCCCTGTGCACAGCCCCAAGGATGGAGGAGGAACCTGCGCTGTCCCCACASCGCCCCACTGCGCTGCAGGACGACTGAGGGGCCCCAGACCCAACTTCTTCAGTAAGATGGGAATAAATCATTTTATCAGCTCTCCACAGACAAGTTCAGAATACAAATACATAAAGCAGAAAAAGAAAGCCCCAGACAGCAAATGTGTGAGGACAAGCACTCTCTGCCACTCTCTACTGAAAACATATAAAAATAGTTAGGACTTGAAGTTAAACAGCATTTTTAATACTTCTTTTTTCCTATTAATATAGAAAAAATAATTTCTATTAATAAAAAATAACAGCTACTGGAATGATATCAAACGCCAAAAAGTAGCCGAAGTCAGAGGAAAAGGTTCTGCTTAACCTAGAACTTCCCAAGAGTCCAAAAAATGTCCTAGGACTGATACTATTTCCTTTCTTAGGACACTGGAATCATTTATGTTGGGCCAATCTCTGGAGGCCACGGGGTCCAATCCCCTGCTCAGAGCTAACAGGGYCCTGCAGCCACACACGGCTGCTGCATCACAGGAGAACCACAAGCAGCAGAACCTACAAGGGTAATTAATTAGAACCAATTATGAAGGCCCTGTCCTCTGTGGCATCAGTTACTAACATGCTGTTCAGATAAGACACAGAGCTGCACATGACGAGTACATTAATAGCTGGCACACACATATTAACGTGGGAAAACTGTATTAGAACATTCAAATCTAACCCATTTTACCTAAAGAATTCTTGCAGATAGAACTGATTGGTTTTAAACTATCATAAATAGGGTCTGAAAAGTTATTTCACGTCAAGGTCTTAGTTAACCATATAGCAGAGCACACTACTACACAGCTCTACTGGAACTCAAACTGTTTCCCCCTCACTTATCTTCTATCACCAGAAGTATTTTCTCTTGGCTTGACATTTGCTTCAAATTCTTGTAGACTTAAGATGCCTACTCATTAAATACAAAATCTGCTGAGGCCACTTTATCCAAAAATTACCTTTTAAATGTATCAAAAACACCTGAATCATCAAAGTTAATGGCATCAGGGTGTCCAGGAGGTAGACACAGATCTCCAAGATGCATTTCACAGCATGGAATGCCATGCTGTACCACAGTCAAGCTTGGATAAAAAGATGACCAACCTGAAGTGGTAAAGAGTCAAATTAGACAGACGGCCAGACAATCTCTCTAGCTCTTAACTGGAGCAATCCTATACATCTACATGGCACCACGCTATGAACATGTCCCGATTTAGTTTCTTTCACTCAAAAGAAAAATCAGAAACACGTAGGGAATTCTTACAAATGGTTATTTTTAGCTCAAGTAGGTTCTCATTGTAGCAAAAAAGTGATCCAAATCTAAAGTTTAGCAAGTGAGAAAAGCCCTGCTTATTTGTAGCTTCCCTTCTCCCCCCAGTTTATCTGTTTTCCTGTGCTGTATTTACATAATTATTCTCGACCAGATTTTCTTCAAGAGTCATAAAATATTTCTGTTAATTTGATAGTTTTGTTCTTTCAAATTCTATTTTTTCTTTGCAAAGCCAGTCAATTGATTCTACAACACTGTTTTTATTAATTTCTTGAGTTAGACAGAATGGCAGTAAGACTTGCAATTACTTTCTACAAGGACTTTAACAGAAAGCCAAGTACATTGCAATAATTTCATACCTTTGTTTTTAACATAAAAAGGGTGATCAAGCCTGCACTCCACTGTAAGCAAGCCCTCTTCCACTGTGCCAGGATCAAAAGTCAGCTTCAGCACTGACTCACCAAAGGAAATGCTTTCTTCATGAGAAATCAGCTTCAAACCATCAGCACCATAGCCCTGAGAACACACACACAACRCAGAATTTTTCCCCTCTGAAGAGTAGTGTCATTTTCTTACAGTATATTAAAGAACACCAACATTTTCGGGACCCTCTCTGTAAATTAGTAAAGACTTTGTCACATCCAAAGTGTGCCAAAATGCACTTAGTTCCATTGCTTTATGGCAAGACACTCAAATAATGCAGCAATCAGCACTCGACAGGTTGAGTATAAACCTGTCTTCCATAAACCCTTGGAGACAGTAAATAAAGGCACAGGGATAACATTACAAACTAGATCTCTTGCTCCAGCTGTTGAAATGAATTTATTAGAACTAACAGCTACCTTGTAAGCACCCGCTGGGAGATTTTCCTCATTTCCATGGCTTTCGGATCGAGCAAAATCTTCAACATCCTGCCATTCTTTATTGCGTCCTTTATGAAAACATAAACGTGAGCCTAAAAGATTTTTTGAAGAAAGAAAAAAAGGTGAGTGTAATGTAAAAAAAGGCTCCTATTAAAAAAGTAGAAGAAGAAAATTCAAAACAAACAGTTGAATAACTATGCATRCTTTTTACCTTTTAAAAAACAGTGCCAAACAGTTGAGGGCCAAGAATGGCACCATCCTAAATCATCATCATCTGAAAGTGATGACATGCAGAAAATGCCGGATTCTGATTCACTGTTCGCCTATTAAAAAAAAATAGAAGTGTTGATACTTGAACATAAAAAAAGATTTTAGTGCTCGTCGTATATTTAGGCACACTCTTGTCAGCATCTGAGTCACATCTCTGCATCAAGTTCAAATAGGACTATAAAATGAGGACGAGACTCAAGGAATGCACAAAGTGAGAAGTGAGTATTTTCTCCCCTCTCCTTTGTGCTATCCTGAAATTCTTATTTTTCATCCTTTATCTGAGATTCACTTAGGCCCCCGCAGACAGATGATCAGGTACAGGCCTTTCACAAGCCCTCACTCCGCTGTGGCCATCCACAGGAACCTCTCAAAGAACAGGTTATTCCACGGTCAAATAAATGGAAAAGACATCAGGCTAATTCTCCTTTAGATAAAAAAAGAAACCGAGAGAGACTCACAATGTTTTTAGTGGATCAGCTTGGGRAACAGATTAATAGCAGGAAAAGGAGAACAAGACCGAATTTTTGTACATCTAGAAGGAGACGGTTCCACATTGCCTTTTCCAGAAAGCAAACACAAACTAAGACAATTTTAAGTCCTTGCTGAAGAAGGCAGTATAAGAGGAGAGTATTTTTAGAACATGGTCTCTTTATAATGTGGACTGTGTGCATCATGGAGCACAACAAGCTCACTGTACTTGGTAAAAGTAAAAAAATCTAGTTTAAATACAATTGATACTCAAATGAAACAGTTGGCTTTTTTAACCAGTTTCTCTTTTTGAAAAGCTTAACCCATTATTCTTGCTTCTTCATCTGTGCTAGAAATGTTTCAGGACAACTCACCCTTTCATGTCTGACTGGTGTTTCATCCAAATCATTCTTGGACACGTTTGGATCATTCTTTGAGGATCCTGGTGGAGGACGTGCATAGGAATGTAAACTTTTGCTTGTAGCTATTATGTGAACAGGAGATGATCTACAACGCAAAACAATTTCAATAATCAGATTAGGGAAACACAAAATTCAGCTAACATTCCTCTAAAGTGTTTTCATTTGGCAATCTGTCATATTTGAAATATAAATTCATAATCATTTGTGCATATAAAATACCCTGCTTGCATTCACGTTCTGAATAACTATGCTGGTCCAGATCTGAATTATTAAACCCAGTTACTGAAAGGAAGCAGAAGTTGCAGGTGCAACTGGCTGTTCACTGCAGGTGGCTTACGAGGTGCACAGTCATTAAGGCTGCATCTACACTGCAGTCTGAGGAAAAAGAGGAGACAAGCAACGAAGCTTTCAACTTAGGTAGGAAAAAAAATCAATTTRAACAAATATTTCTGTCTCTGTGAGCCAAATACCAAATAAACTTCCCACACATCAATACTGAAATGCAGTGACTAAAGGGTACGAGCTCAGGCAGAGGGAGCATTTAGCATAATTGCTGCATGGCTTCTATATTCCTCACGAATGACAGTGTCACTCCCAAGCCAGCATCTCGCTGGGGTAACGCTGCAGTTATTACAAGCATCTCCAAGTCAGTGCTCCATTCTGAGAGTGCCCTGCCTTGTCTATTAACAAAGTGCAAATGCACTACTGAGAGCACTACTGCATTTGATTTTTTATCACAAACTAAAGGTCAAAGCTCTAAAACAAAAGGTGAAGCTGAGAAAAATCAAGATCCTACACTGCTTTGTACAGCCTCACTGGATTTGCCCATCATCCACTTGAAACAAGATCAATAAACACAGTGCATTGCACTAAATTTCCAAGGAGCTCTTTCAAAAAAATCTGAAGCCTGTGTGTTAATACACAGTGTGTTAATACACAGCAAATAAAGAGTTCAGACTAATAAATTCATCTGAACTTTTCCTCTGCTGCTTCACACGAGGTTAAGTGCCTGTAGTTTCTGCACTCCCTGTGGTTAAGGAATGTCCTTACACTGTTCAACCTCATTCCTGGTTGACAATTCAGATGCTTTCGCAACAGGTCCTGAGAAAAGTCCTGTGTAATCTACAGCAAGATAAAATAAAGTTGCCATACAGGAAGATGACAATCAAAAACAGGACTCCAGTTCAAATTTAGAGAGCTTGGAGAACAAAGAAAAAGTTTCTAAAGATGTTTTACATTACAGGGATAAAAACGGGAAAAACAATCAGTACCTGTTATAAAAAGAGCACTGCATTAAGGGACTCTGAGGACTTGTGGCTATATTTGCCAGTTCTGTCAACCAGTTCACGCCGTTCTCGCACGGATAAACACTTTCCGAATTGCTGTTTGAGGTATGTTGGTTCCATGAAGGCCTTGAACGTTCTTGATGTGAAACGTCTGCATTAAGCTGGAAAAGTGCAGGTGGAGCAGAATCTGTCTGCACAGCCTGTAGTTCAGGAAGGTCATCTGCAAAGAAATACACAAATTACCTAACTAAACCCACTGCTAAGCAAGACCTGACACACAATTTCCTGAACAAAAAATGAGAAGTAACCTGAACAGAGTAACATGTTTCTTTTTCCTCACAGCACAATCACCAACATTTCACAAATTTCATTCATAGTTATTTTCAAAACAGCCACAAAAATGACCAAAGCTTTAGTCTATGATTCCTTCATACAAGCATTTCAACAGAAATACCAAGTAATCGTAGAGAAAAAAAMCACAATTTTGATACCATGTTTTCAGTTTTTACTAGACTGAGCAGTCAGCACAAAGTCATGCTGCAGAATTCAGCAGCCTGCTTTACTGTAATACTAGCAGAGTCAATAAAAGGCAACTAAATTTATCTGGCATAACAACCATGCCACTAAAAACTGGCAGTACCAGAGGCTGTACAGGGTAAATTTTCCCATGTTTTCAGTTGTTTACCATGTTTTCAGGGTTTGGTCTGCAGCCTGGGGGGGTGAACTATCARCTCTCTATACATTTTATATGTCATACAGAATAGCAGAAGAGAGCTCAGCAGCCAGGTTGTCAASAGAACTCTGCAGCACATACTCTTATGTTACTATGTATCATTGATCCTAATTCCTCTATGAATTCAGTTAAATGTGTTAATATTTCTTGATTAAATCAATATTTAATAATGTATATGCTATTCTTCCACACTGTGTAGGAACTGGAGTTAAATGTCCCTCTTCCCCAAAAATCTGTTTGGAGTAGATCCAATAGCCAGAACTCCCCTGCAGGAGGAGCTCCAGAGCTTTCTATTGCTYATTCTTGGAGCAAGCAAAACTAGAAATCAGGAAGAGAAACTTGCAGCTTTGAATCAGCAAACATATTTATGTCAAGAGGCCAGCATGTCACGCCTGGAAATGAATTATAGTGAAAAGTGACCGTAAACGAAGACTTTCAGATGTCACTCTCCACTGTTATATTCCCTGCTCCACACCATTAACCCACTCAGCTTCCAGGAGCATCACTGCAGGAAAATGACGGCTGAACCAGCTCAGCACTTGGCTCCTGCAGCAGCCCGGCTATTTACCAAGTTCCATGTGCTCGTCAGAGGACGCATATCCAGGAGAAGACGGCAGGTTTTCATTACACTTCAGCAACTCCAGTGACTCATTCATCCCTGAAGTTCTCTTGTCCACTACCAGAAGGAGTTTCTGAACAGCATTAGGCATTTGATTTGTCTTCACTTCCCACACCATGTTAGGATGTTCCAAAGTATCTGACTTTAAAGAGACACAGGTTAGAAAAACTATACATACAAAAATACATCCTTGACTTACTAGCCAATTTCTATCACTGAGCTGCTGACTTGGACCTGTTGTCCACTGTGGTCCTTCTCTCCAGAGCTGCTTTCTACCCAGTGCCATCGATGGCATCGTTCTGCTCAAGGAGCCAGCCTGGGATTTCTGTCAAACCACTTCCCAAGCTGTCAAGACGCTCCTGAGGAGCAGGMTGATGCTCCAGTGTCCTGACCACCCCCGGGCAATTCTCCAGCTTGCTGGTGCTGCGCTCTGTCCTTCATGCAGGTCACCAATGAAGACACTCCACACGATCAGCCCTTTGTGACCRTCCAAAGCTGGGCCCTGAGCAGCTGCCCGCCCTCTGATTCCAGCTGCCCATGTCGCAGCCCATCCGGGTGCTCTCCAACCTGGCCACAAAGGCACCATGAGAGGCCATGCCRAAAGCCTTGCCAACAAATCCAAGGACAACAACATATTCACTTTTCCCGAGCCAATCATCTCTCCACAGGATGCAATAAGACAGGCCACATGGGATTTGCCTTTGGTACCTCTACGCTGGCTGTTCCCACCACCTTCCTGCCCTGCAAATGCCTGGATGTGCCTTTGAGCACCACCTCCCTGCCCACCTTGCCGATGCTGAGCGCCAGGCCGGCCTGCCCGCAGGGTGCCCACGGTCTCCGAGGAGGACTGTGCGAGCCCTGCTTTCCTGCCCTCCCTTTGGAGACGCTGCTCCCGCCGTCCCCTCCTCCYGCCTTGTCCCCATCCGCGCTGCAGGTCACCAGCTCGGCGCGTCTCACCCTCAGAGCCACCTCCCTCCTCCGAGCCTGCCACCGGGCAAGCCCGAGCACAGACCCTGCAAGCGCACACCAAGGTGAGGAGGACGTCCCCAACCTTGTGCCACCACGTCCCYTACATCACCGAGCATCAGGCCCACATTTTCTCTACCCATCCTGTTATTACTGGCACTCCTAAAGAAGCCTTCTCATTGCCCTTCACATCCTTTACTAGTTTCAGCTACATTCGCAAATATTTTTARATACTAATATGGTAAAGTGTGTTGCAAGAGGAAACAAAACAAAAAGCAAAGCCTGTACCACCAGATTTTGCTGCATCTCCCCAAATCCCTGTGCTGTAACATTTTAAACTGAAAGACATATTTTAAATTAACTTCAAGAGCCAGACAGCTGTGGGATTGTTCTACACAATCCCCCTCTCTAGAAGCTGGATAACAGGGTTATCTCGTCTTTAGTAATTTGGTTATCTAGTGTCTTTTCACATGATGATTAATTAAAGCTACCGTAACATGATTAGTTTCTGCTTTCATGAAGTAACACTGAAAAAGTAACCACGAAGCTCTCACAAAAGATGACAGAGGTTAAAAGCACAGAAAATCTCTCATTTAGAAAATCTCTAATTAGAAATCTAATTAAGTATTTGCCTAATTTAAATAAACAGGTATCCRAAATGTAACAAATATATTTGAAACTACTCAACTCTTGCCACCATAAACGCCACAACGGTGTAACGCTGAATGTTACGGGGGTGGAGGTGGGAGRAGAAAGAGAAAGGAGAAGACACMATCAAACAAATACAGAGAGTACTTGAGTTTTACCTCTAAGAGCCATCCTCAAGGCAGTTTATTCCTCTATCATCCACTAGGGACAGCAGGAATAAAGAAAACCAAAAGAAACGAAATGCCAGTCATTTGTGAACATAAAAAAAAAGAGAAAAAAGAAAAAGCAGCACTATAAGGTCAGGACCTCGATGATTATCGAGGAGTATTTAACTCTGGAAAGCCACTCCTTGTTTTCTTGGCTTGTCTACGTCCCTCTCCCTTTCTCCCTTTTTCCTCTCTCCCTTTTTCCTCGTTTTTCCTCCCCCTTTCTTTTTAACCTTTCCCTTGCCTGCTCCTCTCTGGGGAACGCTGCCTCCACCTTCCTTCCCGCTGCTGGGATCCCTACCTGTGCTGCTAAACCCCCGCACTGCAGATCACAGGCAAGACACAGAGACAAGAGAGGCTGCTAGTCCACACAGGAAAAAGAGACTTGTTTCATTGGAAAAAGGATTTGGACTTCCCACTCACCAGAAGTTTTCTGAACTAAAACCACCCAGATGCAAAAGTAAAAAAAACTTTCCAACAAATAAAGAAAAAAAAAGCCCAAGCTCCTTTTTTCTTCTTTTTTTTTAAATTCTGCTAAATTAAAGCCTGCTTTGGACATCATGTGATTCTCATCTCATCCCTCGCCTGTCTGCTTTGGAACATTAAAGGCACAGACATTAATTAGTCTGCACAGAGTTATTTTTTTCTCTTTCTAACTCATGCTCAAAACTGTTGTGAAACATGTTTGCTAGAAGTGCGCAGCACAGGACTATAATTACACTCATTTTCTGCAGAGGTTAAAGGAATTTCTCCGTGAATTTACATTTCAGAAGGAGCTGGTGCGCCCTATGCAAAAAAGCGGCGGCCGGAACAGAGCTCACCAGCCAAATAAACCGCATGGAGCCCATTCCTATGGGGAGCTGAGCCCGACCCTTCTARAGGGCTGCGGCTGACAGGCACCCAAGCACCGGGAATGCTGGGGGGTGGGAAGCGCTTCCCGCTGGGAAACACGGCCAACGTGCTGGAGCGCGGCGCCCGGAGCGCGTTCCCGGATGCCCTCAGCACGGAGAGCAGCTTCTCCGAGGCAAACACAACGCACCGGCAGGACCGGCTCTGTCCCGGGGGCCATTCCCGGCGGGGCCGCTTTGATCCCGGATCCTCCCTGCGCATCCCAGCGGCCCGTCCCGCTGCCGCCCCCGCGCGC